GCTGTGTGTGAAAAAGCACCCAAACTGGGATCCCACTACACACTGCCATCCATTTCCATATCTTGTGTCAAATTCCTGCACCAATTGAAAAGATCAAATATTTTTAAATGCAATGAATAAAATAAATGCAGTTCAAAATTAGCCAAGCAATACAGAAAGTCCTAATTGAATACAAACAGTTGTATTTTCAAAAAATTAGAAAAGACCCCTTCAAAAAATTGTATTCTCATAAAACTACATTAGTTATTATACTAGAAACGTCTGGAACTTTTTAAGTGTAACAAGAACTTCTATATGTGCACATATATTTGAGAGATGTTACGGTCCCGTTACGGAATTATTCCATTACATGATGCTCTAACGGTTACAAATCCCTTTGTAACCCGACAGAATAGTTTCGTAACGGAACCGTAGCATCTCCGTATATATCTATCCTTAATTGATCACCTTCTTGATGTGGGCGGCGATGGATGTGTAGTCTAAAACGTCGTACAAATCAAGAGCTTGAGAAGCCCAAGACATTGCTTGGATCTGCATCTTCAGTGGCATATCAGATTCATTTACCAAGGCTTTTCCTTCTAACATCTTTTTTAAGGAACAGTAGTGTTGACTAAAAAAGATCATGAACTGTTGAGACCTCAAAATAGAACTTATTTCCACTTAAAAATCAAAAAACAGTGTATATTATTGGAAGGAAAAAAAATAGGAAACATGAAGTAAATGAAGGCAGCAGGTGGGTGTTTATCTACTTCAGCACTTCCAAGACTTCAAGTTTGTATGTGTTATATAAAGGAGCTCGCCATGTGTAGAGATTTCATTTGATATGCATCACGTGGGCCCATTTTGTGTCTCCATTTTCTTTTAACTTTTTATTCTATTCTCAAACTTGCATTTATTTATTTTTTTTAACTTTTTATTGTAGAATCAATTCTAACAAGTCACACACTCGTATTTCGGAAATAGAGAAAAAAATTTGGCCCTTCAAGGGAGTTTCTCTTCGGGCAAGGGTTGTTGAATTTCTGAATCAAGTAAGTAGAGCAGTTAGGGTGCTAGACATTAAAGTTTGGAATAATTTTTGATCCATTGAAATAGTTCTCATCGTGTGAGTTGATTCATCTTGTACGACGTATTGAAATAACTAGACATAATTAGTCATGTGTTGATGCAGATGTTTGTACTCTTGATTTGAATATAGTAAACAAGAAGAGGATTAACCCCCGATGACGGATGTCGTGTCAAGACCTTATAAATCAATGCAAGAGTCACCAGCTCTCTCGATGAGATCATTTTGGCTCAGGCCATTATGGACCCAATGAGCGAGTCGAACATCAACAAAGAGTCGAACATCAACGACTTGAGGTCCCAAGGATACCCAAACATAGGGACAATTAACAATATACAATTTTAACGTCTAATGAACACATTACACATTATCATACAACGATTTTACAACAGAAAAATCATCCATTACAATAGAAATCGATCATCCAGACAAAGTTCTATCTTTCCATTTATCTTCTTTTTTAATCAAAGTACAAAAGTTCATAATCCATGAGATCAATTTCAGGCACCAAAACCCTCTACTAAAATCGGAGTACCGTCAGCACGCTTTTCTTCGTCTTCATCCACGTCACCATCCGTCTCTCCAAGCTTCTTTCCCAAAATACCCTTGTCCTTTTCGCCAATTTCCAGCCCTTGCAATCCGTCCACGCACGCCGCCTCCCCGCCTCCCTCCTCCGCGCCGGGAACCACCACCGCGTCCGATTTCGTCTCATCCCCGCCGCCGACCGACACCCTATCCCGAGGCGCCTCCGTCAATCCGCCGCCTTTCTCAACGACGCAGCCTTCGGTAGGACCAGTGGTGCCTTCGATTATCCCAACGAGCGCGTCCGAAGAATCTTCCCACGGATCCTCCACGCATCGGACTCCGCCTTCACCTTTGTCGCCGGAAGACGAGATGATGGATCTGACGGCGGAGGCGGCTTTCAGAAACGCCTCCTTGATGGACTCCGGCGGCAGAGCGCAGTCTTCGAGGCCGGCGTCCTCCAGCCGCGGAGGCTTGATTAGATCGAGGAATGATTCCTCTTCCATGTCAGAGAGTGATTTCAAAATCTGTAATTCGAGATTTGTTTTTGGAAATCCTTACACGCACTCACACAGTAAGATAAATTTTATAGACAGTTGCTTCTAGAATGGCCGTGAAGAATATTTATTTATATCCCCATTTTGACCCTGCATCTAAGTATTGAGCCCAAAACAATGAAAATTGTTTTCGGCCCATCTCAATTTTCCGCCTTAGTAACCCACTCATAAGTAGGCCCAAGCCCACATCATTCGAAAACCAAACCCTAGCATCCTCGCCTTTCTTTACTTTCATTTCGTATAAAGCTCTCTACATCGCCGCCTGCACTATCTTCAACCTCCGGAGCTCAGGAAAAAAGAACAAAGAAACAGATCGCTGTAGAGTTTCTGCAACATCACAGCAATGGTAATTCGCATTTACGATTCTTGTCTGAGCACAATATATTTCGATGTTTTGTGTGTGTAACCTGTGAATTGTGACATATCCAGGGCAAGGGAACTGGGAGCTTTGGTAAGAGGAGGAACAAGACACACACTCTGTGTGTGCGGTGTGGCCGCCGCAGCTTCCATCTCCAGAAGAGCCGCTGCTCGGCCTGTGCTTACCCGGCCGCTCGCAAGAGGACATGTAAGTCGTTCACGACTTGTTAAATTTTGATGTGAATTTGTAGTTTCATCGAACTAGCTTGCTCGCTTTTAATCTATGTATGCATCTGAACTGAAAAGTATTTTTTTTTTTTTTGTTTTAATCTATGGTTGGCTGAGTAAATTTTAGCTGATTTGATGTGTACAAGTCGTTGAATTTGAGCTGAGTATTGTGTTACTCTTGGGCATGGATGAAGGAGATTTGAATTTAACTGCAGTTTCCACCGTCCAGGGTTTTTTTCGTAGTTCTGTTATACATTTCTTGTTGATTTTTCCCTTTGTACTGATTGTTACAGATGCCGATTTATTGTTTATTAGATACTTGTTAGCGTAATTGAGTCGAGTAATATGAGCTGAGTAATATGTTAGTGGTGCTTTTGATGACACTATATTGGCATAGGATTTAAATTGCAAGCTTGTATAAAAATTTACCGATTTATTGGAAAGTAGACAATATTATGGAAATTTTATGTTGATTGGTATGACAATGTATTGTAAAATCCCTATGTGTATCGACATCTTGTTTCAAGTATATGTATTAGATATATTCTCTTTATTCAAACAATTTTGTTGTGTAACTATTGTATTTCAGACAACTGGAGTGTGAAAGCCATCCGCAGAAAGACCACTGGAACTGGACGCATGAGGTACCTCCGCCACGTGCCCCGCAGATTCAAAACCAACTTCAGAGAAGGTAAGAAAAGTTATTTTAAGATTTAATATTTTTCTCTTACATTAACGTTTATTTGAGATACTCTATCTAATGGATTTAGGAACTCAAGCTGCACCGAGGAAAACATCTGCAGCTCCTCTTTCTTGAGCATAGAATTTGAAGGGTGCTTCTAATTGTTATTGCCTTTTTTGTTATCTTGGAACTATTAGAGGAACAAATGAAATTGTGTGAGAACAGTCTTTTTTACCCGTGAGCTACTTTATTAGTTGTAATTTTGTTGGTGTTATTTGTAAGCTTCTTGATGCAGATTTGATAAAAGACTCATTTGTCTCTTGAATATGCATTTTTCTGGGGATTATTATTTTTCGTCTAAGATCCGTTGTCTCATTTTCTGCTGAGACCTCTTTCACTTGTAGAATTTTGTGAGCGTGGTGGTGTGAATATACAATGACTGACAATGCAAACATGATTCCGACTGTCAAAGGAACTGTCCCTAGCAACTCTTCTGTTTAACAAATTGCCATTTTAAATCTGAGGTTTAATTTGTACAGTCTTTAGGCTGTACATATATATTCTGCATCATGTTAAATACAAACTTAGTGAGTCCTAGAAATTGAGAGAAATAAGATTGCTTCTGCTCATAGTCTATGACAAAGAAAAATAGTTAGTTCACTACTGAAGTTAAAGAATAGCGTGCAGAAATAGTCGAGTTCAACATAAGATTCAATCGATCTCCATGGGGAATAAATGTGACCATTGAATCTCTCAAATGAGGAGTGCGGGGAAAATTAGTTTAATTGTACTGCAAAGTGAAAACCACTGCAGTCGAGAATAAGCTATTCGCTTCTAGCAGAGTTTAATTGTTTCAAATAACTGCAAGCCACCACACTCGAGCAAAAGTAAATCAAGCTTCGAGTTTCAGCTCTTTCAAGCGAGTTTAATTGTTTCAAATAACTGCAAACCACCTCACTCAAGAAAAAGTAATTGGAGCTTGGAGTATCTGCTCGTTGAAGCTTTGAGTTGGCTCATAATTAACCACATGGATCTCAGGTTTTGAAGAAGTGGTTTTGGCTTAAGAGTACTCACTCATACTGGGACTTTAGTCCCATGTTTGCAACCGCATGGATTTCAAGTTGGATTGGCCAATAAGTTGGCTGCCAGTCTGCGAATCGATCCTTGCCTGCTTCTTTCAAAGTTAACACTTGGATTCTTTAAGTCGGATCTCCTAACGTGATTGGATTGCCTTGTTATTCTTCCGGGTTTTTTTTTTCCCTGTTTTCTTTAAAAACTGGGTCGGAAGTAGTTGAAACTATGGTAAATGCATTCATATGAAAACTGATTTCTAAAAACCGATTACCCTCCCTGAATGGTTAAAAACCGATTTTTGGTAATCCCTGAATGGTTAAAAACCGATTTTTGATTCGGGGAGTTCGTCTTGGACCTGATAACCCTTACGCATTGCCAAATCTCAAAACAATAAAATTGTCTCTTTCTAGGATGAACGCATAATTGGTCACAAGTACACTCTTACATATTAAACACAACTTTAAGCACAACAAAACGTCATGGCATACTATATGTCCAGACAAATTTCACATCATACAAAGTCATGCACAACTACATTTTCTTATTTCATTTCGTATGTTAGCTAACAATGGGTACATCATCAATCACTTATATGTAAAGAAAGAACACAGACAAAAACTTTGTAACCACAACAACATTACAACGCTACACCACGCCTTCACGATGAAGAACAAGAAAGAAGCACATAACTCAATCCACTGCAAAACAAGAAATTCTCACCAGAAAGAAACCGATCAATAAGCGCTCCCAGCCCCAAATCGCTGGACTCTATTCTCCTGGAGATTCAGTCCCACCATAGAATCCTCCAAACCACTGCTCACCTGAGCCAGCTCCAGCGGGTCATTATAATTCCTAACAGCCTGAACAATAGCCCGAACTCGGTTGTACGGGTCCAGGCAGTCAAAAACCTCCGGGCCCAAGAACACCCCATCACAGCCCAACTGCATCATAAGCGCAGCATCCGCCGGCGTCACAATTCCGCCGGCGGCAAAATGGACCACCGGCAAGCGGCCCATCTGCTTAGTCTGGGCTACAATATCATAAGGCGCTTGAATCTGCTTAGCAAATGTAAAAACCTCGTCATCGTCCATGTTGTTCAAAGCCCTAATATCCCCCATCACCTTCCTCACGCCGCGCACGGTCTTCACTATGTCGCCAGATCCGCTCAGATCTCCCTGCGTCCGTATCAACGCCGCGCCCTCCCTGACCCTCCTCAGAGCCTCTCCCAGATCCCGACAACCGCAGACGAACGCCGCGCCAAAATTGTGCTTGTTGATGAAGTGATCCTCGTCGGCGACGGCTAGGGCCTCGCTCTCGTCGATGTAATCGGCGCCGATCGACTCCAGGATCTGCGCCTCCACGAAATGTCCAACCCTAGCTTTCGCCATTACGGGGATCGACAAAGCATGCTTGATTTCCTTGATTAAGGACGGATCGGCCATGCGCGATATCCCCGGACCGAGCGGATCGGAGACGACGACGCAGCACGCGCCGGCGGACTCGGCGGTCTTGGCCTGATCCAGGGTCGTGACCTCGACGACGGCGCCGCCGCGGAGCATCTGGGCCATGGCGACCTTGATTGAGAAGGGGTTCTTCTTGGCGTCGGTGATGGCGGTGTTGCTGTAGAGCGTAACGGCATTGTCGTCGGCCATTGATGCAATGCTCGAGATTAGATAGATGGGTTCTTGTTGCTGGGAAGGAAATGGGGAGAAGGTAGGACGATATAGACAATGGCGGAGTGTGTTGGGTGGTGTTCTATAAGAGTCTTAGAGCAAATGGTGGCGGGACGACAGATGTAGAAAGTTCTGTAAATTCCGGTGAAAAGCCCTTTTTAATTTCAATCAAACCGGAAACTATCGGAGAAACACAAGGGGATAAGTTCGATCAATAATGCTAAAGAGCCAACAGTTGGCTCCGTTACGGAGCCAACAACCAATGACACAACTCCAAGTGGGGTTGTCCCACAATACTTTAATGTGGGACCGTCCCACATGGAGTTGTCCAATTGGTTATTGGCTCCATAACGGAGCCAACTGTTGGCTTCTTAGCATTACTGTAAGTTCGATAGATGAGAAGAATATTTAATACTACTGGAAAATGTTGTGGTCATTACGGGGTACCCGATACGGGATGATACTATAAGAGCAACTCCAAAAGGCTGTGTAAAATACCCCTAATCTGCTATTAGGGTTAAAACACAAAAAAACTGCCCTTCAACAGATCCCCTAAACCTTCCCTATTTTTTCGCCCTCCCCAATCGAGAGCTCCTTGCCGCGGATATTTGCGCGGTGCCAATCCTTCCCCAATCGCCATCTTCTTCCTTTCCCGCGCTATATGATCCATTCCCGCGCTCTGTGATATTCGGAGGGGAAAGCAAGCATCGGCGGAGGCGCGAAAGGGTTGCAGATGCAGCCACCAAGCGATCGCATCCGGCCAAGGCAGCAGCGGCGCGGCGGCCAGGAGATGCACCGGGTCATGGCCGCCGGCGGCCCCAACTCCCAATGGAACGACGGCGTTGGCCAGACAGGTGGAGTTGAGTTGCGAAGTGAGGTGCAGGGTCGACTACCATCATGTCCTCCGATGGAAGGCCTTGCCGGAGACAATGATGATCCCCTGGCGGAGCCGTACTCTGGCAGCTACGCCCCCTCCGCATCCTTTGAGGACATGGCCAACGACAACACTTTTCTAAATGGTATGAATTTCATAACCTGCAACAGTAATTCGTCAATCAAATTCATGTTTCGTTCTTGGAATTCGTCGCTCATAACCTCAGATTCATCATCACTACCACCAGAATGTGATGGTGGTTGAAGGGAATTAAGTGTGTCCATTATTGCTTTCTCTATCTTTCGGTTGGCTTCAATTAGAGCTTTCTGTAGCAGGGCTTTCACGTCCGGCTTTCTGTGATGGTGGAGTCTTGGTTTCTGTAATGATTTGATTTTTGTATAGTGATCTGGTTTCTGTAATTTGGTTTCAACAGAAATGTGTTGTGTATTTGGTTTCTGTAAAATTCTTGTTTGACAAACAATCTCTCTGTTGTGAGTTGATCTGAGATTCATGCGTCTTTTATTTCCTTTAAATCCAGCACTTTTGCTTAATTGTTTTTTTCCCCAAAAAAAGGAAGCAATTTTTCTTGCTCGGTTTTCTGGGGGTGTAGGTTAGACTCTTTACTTTGCATTTCTTGATGGGTTTTTTTCTTTCTTTTTGTGTAATTTTGCTTTTTGGGAGGTTTCTGTTGTCCTTGTTTAGATGGCAATGTTCACTTTTATTGTTCTTTGCTGCTGTTGAGGTGCCAGTTTTCATTTACCTTTCCTGAAGGCCCTGATCTTGTATTTATACCTATCATCATTTAATATTAAAAGTTAACTGCTATCTGCATCTATATGGGTTCAGAAAACTTTTATGATTGTTTTCCTCTATGACATTTCAAGAAATAGCTGAGTAGAGATGTTCTTTAAATTTACAAATTGCCAAGAGGTTGTTTTTGTTCTTAGATACAACACTGAAGTGAGCATTTTGTAACTTGAGAAGTAGTAGTCAAGCTAAACCTCATGGCTAGTTTTTTTAATTATCCAATGATTTTTGTATAGTAATCTGGTTTCTGTAATTTGGTTTCAACAGAAATGTGTTGTGTATTTGATTTCAATTAGAGGACATGGCTTCAACAGTAATTTGGTTTCTGTATAGTGATCTGTAAAAGCAAATCTTTGATAATGTGTTGTTGATCTGTTAAAAATAGAAGTTGTGAATTCTGATCAAGTGTTGTTGATAATGTGTTGCTCTATGATCAAGTGCCATAGTTCAATTGGACCTGCTGCTAAATGTTTTTTATTGTTGTATCACTTTAACAATTGTTCTGCATCTTGTTTGGAATGGTTGTAACATTATTTTTCCTAATCAAAAAGTAGTTGACAGTGCTTAGGCTTTCACTGAAGACTTATCACTGGTTAAATACTTGCAGGAAATGGATATTTTTCCAACATGTTGGTTGAAACCAATCTAGGGGATTTTGATAATTATAGCAACACGAATGCTGACCATCAGTCACAAGCAATGCAAGTTAGTCCAGCAGTCCCCTCTGCGAGGCCAAACCATAAGAGATCAAAGAATTTCAGTGACCACGAAGATGAGGTTTTGGTTTCAGCGTGGCTGAATATAAGTTTGGATCCGGTCGTAGGCAAAGATCAAAAAGGTGGCAGGTATTGGTCTCGTATCTGTGACTATTTCCATAAGCACAAGACGTGCCAATCAACGCGTATCATTAATTCTCTAATGCACCGGTGGGAGACCATACAGAAATGTGTGAACATTTTTTGTGGATGTCTAACACGGATTGAGTTAAGGCGTCAAAGTGGTACTACAATGCAAGACAAGGTAATTACTCACTTGTATAAGATGGATTTGTTTCGATTTTTTTATTATATCTCAAAAATGAATATCCCTTGGATGTTGGTGTGTGCAGGTTGCAGAGGCATGTGCTTTGTACAAGGCCGAAGACCAACATAACAAAGCATTTCAGTTCATGTATTGCTGGGATAAGCTGAGAACACAACCGAAATGGCTTGCTAAACTTGATGAATTGGTTGCTGCTAAAACATCTAACAAGAAGCAGAAGACAAGGCCTACTGTTGATCCGAGTGCAACTTTACCAAGTGAAATAGGACAAGATGCAGTTGAAGACTTAGATGCTAATGCATTGACAAGGCCAATTGGTAAGAAGAAGGCAAAAGCAGCATTGCTGCAAGAGAAGAAAAAAAGTGTGACAGCAACCTTAGAAAATATGTGGGCACAGTTAAAACAAACTGATGAGGAGAAAGATCTAAAGAAAGATCAGAGGTTCAACAAAGCATTTGCTCTAGAACAGGAACGAGTAGCAAATGAAAAACTACTTCTTGAGGTGAGGAGACAGGAGGTCCAATTGCAGAAAAAG